GGCCACCCACAGCTCGGACTTCCTGCTGAATCGGCTAAAATTCAAGGTGTGCGCGGTCAGCCCAAAGCTGCCTATACATTGCTGAAATTTCTGCTGATGTGGCAGAAATTGGAGCTGCTGATGCTGGAAAATGCTGGTGAGCGGCCGAGGACCTGGCTGGAGAATTAGGAACGTTTAACACCATAGTGTTGTGATAAAGTCACAGTACTCCAACGCAATACCCAACGGAGGTGTGCATTGCAACGCTGCAACGCCCATCCGGTGGGAGATGCATTAGGGGGCTATTTAAATGCATGGCAGCGTACCTAGCGTGAGGCACATTGTGCTGTGCGATAGCATGCATTAAACACATGGGTACCAGGCTTTTAGCACAATGCTGCGGTAATCGGCCCTAAGGCCCCATTCACACTGAGCGATTCGCAAATTGCGCGAATTGCATTTTGCGCGATATCACGCAAATGCTTGCATTGAGCAAGCTAGAATCGCGGCAAAATACGCTCCAAAAAGGGTCCTGCTGTAGCGACGCACGACCCGCGACAGCGACGGACAGAGCCCCATTGCCATGCATTGGAGAGCGATATCGCGCGGTAAATAGCCGCGATATCGCGGGAATTACCACGCGATAAATCGCTCAGTGTGAATGGGGCCTTAGGTTACAAGTGAATTATCTGCACTGTTGCTCGTCTATGGTAACGTCTATCCTGTTATCAGCTCTTCTGCTGCCTGTGTCTGATTTAAAAATATTTCGGGGCTCATGTGTAAACTTTCCACTCAGCATATAGCTGGGCGAATGCCGCTCGCACGACAATGCCACCAGTAGGGGGCACCAAGTGGTAGTGGTACCTAGTGCAAAAGAATTTCCCCTGCTCTTCAGCGCCACCTCGTGGTACCAAGGCGCAAAATAATTTGCCATGCTCCTAAGCGCCACCTAGTGGTACCAAGGAGCATAGGGATTTGCCATGCTCCTCAGCGCCACCTAGTGGTACCAAGGAGCATAGGAAATTGCCATGCTCCTCAGCGTCACCTAGTGGTACCAAGGAGCATAGGAATTTCCCCTGCTCCTCAGCGCCACCTAGTGGTACAAGGTTTATTCAATAGCCCCTTAGTGTTACAGCGACAATTACCTTTGCCAGGTGTCATCAGAATTTTTTCTACGGGACCCCATAGATTGTAGTCAATGTCCTTGAACGTTTCGGGGGCTGCGCAGGGTCTCCTCTATCAGGCAAAACTATGATTGTAGTGATGCCCCCGCTCTCTCTGCATATGTCAGTGGACAGGGGAGGGGTAAAGATGGATAGAAGAGCTTCGCTGTTGAACTCGGTGGACTTGTGTCATTTTTCAAACTGACTATGTAATGTTTAGCAAAAAGTTAATATTTGCTTATCAGTAACAGCGATGGGTTGGCCGTGCGTTTCAGGGAGAAAAAAGCACGTTTGAAACAGCTCACAGAGCAGATTATAAAGGTAATGGACGGTGCACTTTAAGATTGAAAGAGGAAGAGAGATCACCTGACATGAAACTGTTGGGAAATTCCAGGAATGAAAATAAATTTTTCTTTACAACCGCTGTGAAACTTCTTATAGAGCAAGGGTTGGGCAAACTGCGTCCCTACAGCTGTTGTGGAACTACAAATCCCATGAGGCATTGCAAGACAGCCACAGGTATGATTCCAAAAGGCAGAGGCATCATGGGAGTTGTAGTTTCACACACAGCTGGAAGGCCGGAGTTTGCCCTCACTTGCTATAGATGTATCAGCAACTAATGCAGAGCATTACAGTCCATTCACTTCATATCCAATCCAGCAGGCCCCACACTGCATAGATATTAGCAAATTGAAAGGAGATTGTACAAAGTGTGGCAAAATGAATGGCACCGAAATGCACCAGGGCGCTGTTAGTGCACTATTGTGTGTTGCAATAGCACGTAGTAAAATGCATGTTTCACCGAGTGTTGGCAATGTATATGGTGTGTGAATGGGCCCTGAGGGCTTCTCGGAGAACATTGATGGCCCATTGAGATCCGTTACTGCGTGTTACCGCAGTGCACTTGGCACTACCACAATAGCCGGCGACACATGCCGTGCTTTATGGAACGGGTCATGTCCGATGTGTTTGTGTGTAAAGTTGGCCGCCAGCCCATTCGAAATAAATGCCATGATAACACTTTACATTAACTCAACACATATTGTAACCTTTATACGCAGGTCGGGGGGAATGGGCAATAAATGCGACAATGTCAAAGAGTAGCAAGATAAAGTGACCTATACCAAGGTGTGGTTGGCAAACAAAGTCAGGCTCCACGTAGCCGTGTAATATGTCCTGAATGGTAAATGTGAGGGCGATTTTAAGGGGTGTGGTGAAATAGCGAAAAACCTTTCAGCTTCTTCTAATTATGAGCAAAATAATCCTCCCAAATCGGCGGGGTCAGAGGTCCTGTAATCAGCAATATGACATAGATAAGTCAGCAGAGAGGATACTAGAATGGGTTATAAGAAAGCCGGCGGGATTACAGAATTGGCCATTACAGATCAAACATCCAGAAGACATTTGACTTGTTTTAGCACATAGATGAGAGAGTCAAGGAGAAAGCGGACAGCACACCTCACATTGTACCCCAGTCCACTCAGTACTGCACAATGCTTCCTGAATACCCCCGAATGTGCATGCACACACACAGAGTTTAGAGCAGGGGTAGGCAACCTGGGCACTCCAGTTGTTGTGGAACTACAAATGCCATAACGCATTGCAAGACCCTGACAGCCACAAGCATGACTCGCCGTGGTTGCCTAGAGAACGCTTATTACCGAGTCCGACACTGTTGTGTCACAGTTCCTGCACTGCGCAAAGAAAGGTAAGTTCAGCCAAAAACAAGTATGTGTATTGATGTAGATTTCCCAGCCATGGTGCCGGTGTGCTTCTCTCATTGTACTGCATTCTTGACTTGCGGATGGCCAGGGTGTTTATGCAAAGGTCAATATGTATCTTTCTGACTGTCATCCTGGAAAAGAATGTGTTTGCATATACTAATACGGTCCTTGAACAAACAACTTATTTCACAGCAGCCACCAGCAATACATTCCGTCTTCTATGTTTTCCTGGAGGATGTACCCTATGAGTAGTACAGGCTGCAGTATATGAAGTAAAGGGAACTGCTTGTTGATGGGAATAAATGACAAATGCTGTGCTCCTAACACTCACATTGTAGTTCAACTATCCGGTTGGAGAATGCCAACTCTGAATGTCACTTGGGTCGTAAAATCCATGTTGGAGCTTCTTTGTTTTTTATTACTGTGAGGGCCGGTGCACACCTAGGCGACACCTCAGCAGATTGCTGCAGGGTCAGGAGTCGCCTAGGTGTGCACCGATTGCACTGTGGGTGCCATTATTTTCTAATGGAACTCCAGTCGCATCGGGTGGATCGTGCGGTTTCCCACAGCGATTCCGCCCATGCTTCCGAACACTAAAAAAGCCGTGAGTCGTGTATTGCAAAAGAAAGGTACATTTTTTTCCGCGATTGCCGCATGGATGTCACACCATTGAAATCAATGGTGCCGCTCAGCAATCGCAGCCTGTATTGTGCAGCTCCGCGCGATCCCGGATCGCGTAGGTCTGCACCAGGCCTAACAAGATATATACTCTTTTTTTTTTTTTACTTATAATGTGCTGAGGCAAGAATTCAAATGCTGGCAGCATGCTGGAGAGCCGGACCGGTGTTCTCGCACACAAGCCTAAGACCTCGTTCACATGGGCAGCAAGCGGGTGGTAAAGGTGGTCGATCTGCTGTTTTACTGCTCCCCCTGTCTCCTGCTGCCAAGTCAGCACTGCAGCCAAACAGTGCTGTATACATTGCCACGGCCACAATGCTTTGCGTTGCGGCAAAAATATACATTTTTGACGCAACGCAAATGCATTTGTCAGGTGGTGGTCAAACGCAATCATTGTAATGAATGGGACCGGTATTGCAATAGGATTTAGGGCAGGTTCACACCATTTTCTGGACCAGATCTGGAACGCAGTGCATTGCGTTTTTGCGGCGTTTGGAATTTTTTTTTTGCTTAAAATGGTCTTACAGGTGCGCTCCGGTGCCTTTGTATGTGTTTTTGATGCGTTTTTATGCGTTCCAGTACATTCCAGACCAGACAAAATAGGACAAGCAGTATTTTTCTGGTCTGGTACGGACTGGGCTGGTGTGAACAGAGGCTAGAAATAGCACAGGGATACATTAGGATGCACTGTTGGTCTGGAACCAATCTGGCCTGGTCACAGTGCTCCAATCAGCAGTGCCCAAGCTTTCCGATCAGCACTGTTGATTGGCGCAGTGTGCTGGGTGCTTGTCGGACTGATGCCACTGCTGCATTGTGTGTGAGAGCAGCGGTCCGGCTCTCCAGCATGCTGACAACACCTGGTATTTTAACTTCTCCTGAAGCACATAATAAAAAAAAAGAGGATCATACTGTATGTATTACTGTATTTGCACCCTGACTTTTACAGTAATAAATACAGAACCTTCAAACGGGCTTTAAACCGACTATACATATTAAAATGTGATTGCACAATCTTTCTCAGATCTACCAATAGCAGTGCAAGGGACTATGTCAAAATGAAATGGATTGGTGGGTAGGCCCTCGCATTACATCGTTTTTACAATTGTACAGCAGTTGTAAGAATTTTCCACAGCTTACGTCTAGTCGGGCTCTTGACTTGGGCAGCTGGGCCAGTATTTACCAAATAGAGCCGCCTGGAATTTGGGGCACCGGAGACACTGAGGACACAGGATTTTCTCAATTGCAGGCAACTGGGTGTCTGCCATTAGGTTTCCAGCTGTTATCCAAGATAAGTCGCTTCAAGCTTCCTAGAACAAAACATTATGTCACTCCCGCCCTCCATGTCATCTTTGTGCAGCTTATATTCCACTGACACAGTGATCTTTGTATCTTTTTGCAGTATTGGTGTTGGATTTCGGCTGTGAAAATGTTCCTTCATTGTTCCTTTTCTTCTCAGAGATGAATTCCCAGAGGATGATCTACTGGCTGCGTTTGGGGGTCCTGTTTATTCTGACCCTGGCTGTGATAAAGTATATGCATAAAAGCAGGTAGGTGAGAAAGCTGACACGCAGCAATAGCAAATCCCAAGGCGTCTGACCAGATATAGCACAGGGATGATATCGGAGATTATTTGTAGTCTCTTCACTGTTTTTTTCTAGTTATACATGTGGATGTGATGTTATTTCTATGTATAGGTTGTTATATATATTTATATATATATATATATATATATAATATAAAAATATGTACATGGGGCAGCCTTATTTGCACATTATGGGTGTCTAAAGGTACCCATAGACAAAACATATGCTTGATAAGCTATTCAAACATGCCACATGCATGACTTCCAGATGCAGATAGAGTTTGCCTACCCTTGGTTTAAATCAAAAACCTTTCTGTTTCATGAGAACAAAATGTTTTCAAAGTCTTACAGTTCATTTTCTTTAGCAGCCAAAGTAGAAAAGCCTGTCTCCTTCCAGCAAGCTGCTGAGAAGGACCTGTGCTCATTGTATGGAAGCAGTGTTCTCTCTGCAAAAGTCCAACATACGCCCTTCTAAGTCAGAGCTAAAGCTCTCCAATCAGCAGGAGGCATGAGTTTCTCTCATTGCAGACCTGTAGCCAGGGCTGGATCTACTCTCTCTGCTGCCCCAAGGCCAGGTTTCTTAATGTGCCCCCCTCTCTGCCAAATTTCCCCCCAGATGGCGGGGCAGCAGGGTTGGTTTTAATTTTTTTCACTTTTTGTATCACTTGTACAGAACGAGCGGCGGCTTCCCATGCATTACATTTAGCTCTGCTTGTCTAAAGCAAGGCTAAATGTAGAAAACAACTACCCGCTGGCGCCCGGAACTGCATGTCCCGGGCGTCTGAGATAGGAATTCCACACCCCTGCTGCCCCTCTTCTCCCTGCTGCCCCGAGGCCGGCCCTTGGTTGGCCTTCTGGGAAATGCGGCCCTGCCTGCAGCTTTGTAGCCATTAAAACTAAATTGAAACGTTTTTACGTCTTTACTTTCCCTTTAAGGTAACTGGGTTGGCCACCTCTGGTTTTATGTCAGTTACTACCATCTTAAAAAAATTATTATTCTCAGAAGTCTTGATTTTCCTGCCTTGCCTATTCTTCCTGGATGCATTGTGTTGGAGGAGTCTCTTGTGTTTGACCCTTTCCCTGACATTGGACAATGGCGGCTGTATCCCCTGACATCAAACAGAGACTTTGCCATTTTTGTAACAAAACACGATTCCTGGACCTATCCTGCACTCTGCGGCTGCTGAATTTGTTAACTTATGTGCCATAAGCATTAGATGGAAGCAGGAAAGAAGAAAATGATGAATATCCTAAAGCAGGGGTAGGCAACATGGTGGTGAAACTGCAAATCCCGTCATGCCTCTGTCTCTGGAAGTCATGCCTGTGGCTGTCAGAGTCTTGCAATGCCTCATGGGACTTGTAGTTCCACAGCATCTGGAGTGATGAGTTTGCCTATCTCTGGCCTAAAGTGTACGTCTAAGCAAAATAATAGGAAAGAAGAACATATTCAGCACATTTCTCCATGTTGTATCCCTGTAAAAGTGCTGCAAGTAAAGTTAAAATGGTAATCTGTCAGTAAGCTCCTGACATCCTGTAGTAAGTCTGACTGCTGGACTGAAATCCTAAGCAATACTAGTATCGGTATCGGTGCCGATGCCGAGTATGTGGGCGAGTACGGGTACTCACCCAAATGCTCCGATGTCTAGCCCGATACTTCCGGTATCAGGAAGACTGGCAGCGAATCATTACATGCTGCCAGGCTTCCTGATTGGCTGGGAAGCCGGCTCCATGCTCCCTTGTCCTCGATTGGTCGGGAAGGTGGCCGATCAGGAAGCCGGGCGCCGTGTAATGACGCGGCACCTGGCTTTCTGATTGGCCTGGGAAGATGGCTTCATGCTCCCTCATCACCTTCCTGATTGGAGCACCTAGTGATGAGGAGCATGGAGATGGCTTCTCTGCTAATCGGAAAGCCGGGTAGCAAGTCTTTACACGCCGCTCGGCTTCCCGGCTAATCAGGAAGCCAGATGGTGAGTCATTACGCGCCGCCTGGCTTCCTTAATAGGACTTTCGGTACTTGGTATTCGGTATCGGCGAGTACCGCAAAAAAAATATCGGTACTCGATACCGAAAAGCCGGTATCAGTGCATCCCTGCTAAGCAGTGTTGTCAGGCCTGTCTGAGTCCGCCCCCATCCCCACCCCTTGCTGGACTGCTGAACCCTCTGCCCCACTTCACATGCAACAGAGCTGCTGCCTCAACTCCTAAGAGCTTGCTGAAACACTGTGTGTAGGTAAAGGACCCTTGGGAGATGTAGCTCTGGGGGCAGGCATGGGATCCTATATTTTGCTATATGTGCCCTATATTATTCATACAATTGTTTTTATCACATCTCTGCACAGCCCCAACAGTTCCCCGCAGCCTTCAGGAACTGTTAAACAGAAGGCCAAGAATGACTTTTTTTGGGGTGAGAAGGTGGAAGCCAGGGCAGACCCGGTCATCAAAGATCTACCGCCTGAGCCGCCCAAGGAGGAGTCGGCAGAAGCCGTGCCAAAGAAAACGTCAGAAGCAGGGAAGAGGGTACGCAAGGATTTTAGTAAGGTGCAGATGAAGCTGGTTCACCTCGACCTCAAGGGAGCTCCTCCGAAGATTTCATACTTTGAGCAGGTGAGAGACAAGATAACGTTCTATCAGCCCGTGTTCCAAGTCCATGCCGGGGCATTGGTCACATGGTCTCTGCCATAGGATCTCGGGGGAACTGATCTTTAGCAGAGCCAGACAATCAATCTCTTGCATCCGCAGAGTCCAATGTCCAAGTCAGGGTCACATGTCCAATGCCAAGGCACTGGACCTGCAGCCCGAGCGTCAGAAGGATGCAGAATCTCCCTCTTTACAGAAAAAGCTAAACTTTTTAGTTTTTCATTAACTTTTATTTAAAGAATGGGGGCGGGGCTATATATGAATGGGATTTCACTTTTATCTTTAGATCAACTTTAATTGTCCACCTTGTTCATGACCCAGTAGGAATAGTTCATTTCTTAGCTGCTCCGTACTTCCTGTATCGTCCAGATTTAAAGAGCAACTAAAACCCAAACTTTTTTTTTTCTAGTTTTGGATGGAGTGGAGAGCAGGGCCTTGGCCAAAGCGTCCTAGGTTGCTAAGAGCTCTTACCAACCTGTGACACTCGGCTCGCTTCCTGCCCAACTCCTGGCAACCAGTACACCACCATCACTCCCCCCCCTTCCCCACTCCTCCTGGCCTCAGCTAGCAAAAAGTCTAGGGGCACTCCTGGAAGAGAGGGATTAGATCGCCTGTCATGTTTTACTGCTGTCTGTGTCCCTGTTGGTGCGATTCACCTCCTGTATTTGTCCTGGTGACTGTTATCAGTGAAAATTCTAGATTTTGGATTGACATCAGAACAGGAATAAATGGGAAATCTTTCAATGGGGACACTAGTTCTGGTGACCTTGTTAACCTCCAGGGATTTCCATCTCTTTGGAAGATTTCCACTCATATCCAGTTGTGGCTTTCAGACAGGAAGTGAAGGGAAATCTCCCCAATGGGACACGAATGGTAAAAAAAAGAGCTGACAAGGGTTATAACTAGGGATGCTCCGATACCGGTATTTCGGTACCGAATACGAGTACTGATCATTTTTTTCCCGGTACTCGCCGATACCGAGTACCGGAAGACCCATTCAGAAAGCCAGGCGGCGTGTAATGACTCGCCACCCGGCTTCCCAATTAGCAAGGAAGCCGTCCCCATGCTGCTTGTCACTATGTGACGAGAAAAGCATGGAGCCAGCTTGCTGGCCAATCATGGAAGCCGGGCGCTGTGTAATGACGCGGCCCCCGGCTTCCTGATTGGCCAGGAAGCCGGCTCCATGATCCCTCGTCATGAGGTGACGAGGGAGCATGAAGCCGGCTTCTCAGCCAATCAGAAAGCCGGGCGCTGCGTCATTACACATGCCCGGCTTCCTGATTGGCCAGCTTCCCGACCAATCAGGAAGCCGGGCAGCGCGTCATTACACGCTGCCCGGCTTCCTAAATGACCGGGAAGCGGGCTCCATGCTCTCTCATCACAAGTGACGGGTGAGCATGGAGCCGGCTTCCCGGCCAATCAGGAAGCCGGGCAGCGTGTAATGACGCACTGCTCGGCTTCCTGATACAGGAAGTATCGGGCTAAGCATCGAAGCATTTGGGCGAGTATGAGTACTCGCCCAAATACTCGGTATCGGTATCCGTGCATCCCTAGTTATAAACTTCCTTACTCTATCCCAAACTGAAAAAAAGGGTTCGCTTCAGTTCTGTTGTAAAAGATCAGCTTGCAGGAAGACAGGTAGTCCATTATATTCTATAGTGGGCTTTAGGGATCATTCCTGGTAGATTCTGATCACATGACCTAACTCTGCATTGTGGACACCGACTCCACCAGAGTCTTCTTCACATTGACCCTGCTGACATCAGAACCCCGGCGCACCATTGTGACAGCAACAGCTCAGAAGCTCTGGAAAGTTTATCCTCCAATAATCCTGCCTTGTGTGTCTTTTCTGTAGATATTTCCACTGTTCTCCAAGCTGGGGGCCAACGGACTACTCATTGAATATGAGGACATGTTTCCATTCACCGGAGAGCTGGCGGTCCTCAAGTCTCCATACGCTTATAGGTGAGAGTCCAGGTAATGTTCCCATTGTGGTTCCTGAATTAAATACTCTGACTTGGGCTTAATGATGGAGATAAATTCATCATCATTATTAGTTACAGCAGAGTGCTTTAAAGATTTAAATCATGCAAATAATATGATAGATTGTCTCTACCCCCCTCATTGTCACCTTAGTAAAACGTGGCCTGCATATAAATGAGGGGGAAAAAACATAAATAAAAGGATGTGAAATAAAAAGGGAATAATATACTGAATGTCATCATTGCATGCATGAGCTGCTTACAGTTATCAGAATAAAATATTTTTGATAGTGGTCCTTTAACACTTTTTTTGTCCACAGGACATTGATGTCTCTGTGCACAGACCAATTTCAGCAGTGTCATAATGGGTTCTCTTTATAAACAATTTGCAGAGCCATTCGCCTTGTGAATCTCCATGAATGTCCATTCTGTGCGAATAAAGGCAAAAACAAACGTTCTTAGTATATTTTCTTTTCAGGTCAAATGTAACATTCAGAAAATACCGCAATATGGCCACTAGATGGAGCAGAGGAGCAGAGGAAATAGGTATTTGTTTCCTATGCTCCTCCATACCATCTAGTGGCCATATTGTGCGCCCATTTATAGAATGGGCGCAGATTGATTTATAAGACCTGTAGAGAATATGTTGCCTGTAGCATTTAGTTCAGTTCCAGCTGTCATTATTCTGGTGCGGACTACAAAATGACAACAAGTATACGATTGCCTTCCAGCTATGAAATCTTTTGGCAATAATCTGATCCCTGAATAAACAGATGTGTTCCACTTCCTAGGCTTTGTTCTACCTGAATGGAAACACCTCTTAATCAAGCTCTTTGTATAAAACTTTGATTGATTCCTTTACCTGACACCAGTAAGAGAAGGGGGTCTGTACCTGACACCAGTAAGAGAAGGGGGTCTGTACCTGACACCAGTAAGAGAAGGGTCTGTACCTGACACCAGTAATAGAAGGGGGTCTGTAGCTGATACCAGTAAGAGAAGGGGGTCTGTAGCTGGAACCAGTAAGAGAAGGGGGTCTGTAGCTGACACCAGTAGGAGAAGGGGGGTCTGTAGCTGACACCAGTAAGAGAAGGGGGTCTGTAGCTGACACCAGTAAGAGAAGGGGGTCTGTAGCTGACACCAGTAAGAGAAGGGGGTCTGTAGCTGCCACCAGTAAGAGAAGGGTCTGTACCTGACACCAGTAAGAGAAGGGGGTCTGTAGCCGGACCCTGATTAAACCCCTCTGACTAAAATGCAATCACCAAATATAAGCATTTCACGCAGTGTGTCCATGATAGATTGCAGGGTATGGGTCTCTTTCATTGGAAAGCCCAGTACTGTCTGCATGCTTTTCGGAAACCTGCGTACAGAACCAAGTACTGTAGTTCTAGTTCATATTCTAAAGTCAAGAGGTAAGGCTACAAGGCAATAGTCAGTAGGTGGACATAATTCGCCAATGGTCAATAGAAGGAACAAATGCCCCATGTCAGTGGTCAGTAGCCTGTCAGTCAGTGGGAGGAAACCCCCACAGCGGCCAGTAAAAGAAAAAAATGCCCTGGTATCATTGGTCAGTAGGAGGAAAAAATGCCCTGACGGTGCCAGTGTGAGGAAGTCAGAGGGCTTGGGGACTCTGTGGGTAGCTGGGGAAGGGGCAATGTTGGGACAGGAGGAACTACGGGGAACTGCAAGGGACTGGGGCTCTGCAGAATGCTTAGGGGCATGGCGGGGGGCTGTGGGGCTTTGTAAGGGAATAGGAACCCTGGAACAGGCCTGGGGGCACTATGAGGGGCTTTGTGGGGATGCACTGTGGGGTTTTTTGCTGTGGCTGGAAGGGTGCATTGTGAGAAGGGGGGCTCTGGAGGGTGGCTGGAAAGCACTGTGGAGGACTGGTAGTTGGGCTAAGTAGGAGGGACAGAAATTGAGCTGTTGAGAGGCTCTGATTCAAGGGAGGAGTTGATCTACAATGCCTCAATATGATGCCTGATGGAGGAGTGTCTGTTGCTGGAATCCTCACCATTCCCACTGTCCTGGATCCTTGCACATACAATAGAGTTTCCTTCAGCCCATCACTTCTCATCTTAGGAGCACCAATCAGAAGCCGAGGCACCATGGCCACTACGACTGCCATGGTGGTAGTTCCACCAGTGCATTCATGTTGTGCTCCAAGACTGTTACCTTCTTTGTTGGATGATCATTTGTACCCTACATGGGATCAAGGTCTTCCTTTTTGTGCTCACCGGGGGGGGGGGGGGGGAGGGGAGCAGACAAAATCTGGAGCAGTTGCCCATGGCAACCAATCAGCATCTCTCTTCCGTTTGCTCAAGTAAGATTTGAAAATGAGAGAGAGAATCTGATTGGTTGCCATGCACAGCTGCTCCAGATTTTGTCTGCTCCAGTTTTGATAAATTCCCCTCACTGTGTTTTATCTATTGTAGAAAGGAAAAAATATATTGTATACATCGTTGTTATTCATTTGGCACCTTAAAAGTCCCAATGATCTAATTTACTATGTACCTGTGTCAGTACGGGATGTGTTGCCTTGATTTCCCACCAGTCCAAAGTACTGCATAAAACAAGTAAATCCATATTTTATCTCCTGACTCTCTGCCTCTCATTTTCCAGTGAAGAGGACATTGCAAAGATCCTGCACCTTGCTGAGAGGAATAAACTAGAAGTGGTTCCCCTCATACAAACATTTGGACATATGGAGGTAACATCTTGTATGATTTATGTGAGGAGTTTATAAAAGTTGTGCTGAAAGCCCGCATAGCTTCTTACAATGTAATAGTAGAACAATAAGGAAGAGAGTGTCACTCCAAACATGATTGTCCAGATTCATTTTTGTTATTGCATTCAGTAAAATTAATTTGGAGGTGTTCCAAGGGGCTTCTTGTGTATAAGTGCTATATATGAGAGATTCTGGATGCACAGTTGACCTCAGGAGCGTAAGGGGGTCATTTGCATAGCTCTGCAGTAATTCTGAGTTCGCTGCAGCAGTAGAAAGGAATGATTCCCAAGAATGAACCTCTTGCATTTTGGAATTATGATGCTCTTGATAACACTTTGGGCCCTATTTATAAACCGTTCACAGGGCCCTTCACCCTGGAAATATCTTTAAACGTTTGTTTTAAGCAAATAATGCCAAAATGAACATTATTATATTATTTTATTACATTTCATTATTATATATTTTATTATTATTTTTTTCCAGTTGGAATGTATTGTCATGTAATACTACATTATGGCCACGGGGTAGAGCTGATGAGCATCGGAAATTAGAATTTATTTCCTATACTCCTCAGCTCCATCTACTGCCAAAATGTAGTATTACATGACAATACATTTGAACTGGAAAAAATAAGTAAAAACTTTAGATTTTGGCATTATTCGCCCAAAAATGAATGTTCACACATATTTGCAGTGAGGGCCCCTGCACATTGTTTCTAAATAGACCTCTTAAAAGAGAACTTTGGTCAAATCTTTTTTTTGGCCTTAGTTCTCTTTAGTGTCACAGAAAGACATTTACTGATGTCCTCCTGCGACCCAAAACTGAGCATATAGCGGGCTATTGCCAGCTATATGCTGAAAGCACAGAGCCGTACTGCAACCGGGAAGGATCCTAACAATATTGTTGGGATCCACCGCGCTGCCTGATTGACAGCTGGCTCCGCCACTCTAGAGCCAAAGCCAGCTGAGCCCTACCCCCTCCCCATCTGTTGCCTCCAATCAGCACTGGAGGAACGGAAAGGGGAGGGGAATCTGTGTGGGGAGCGGTGACTGACAGTCACCACTCTCTGCAGGCAGAAGATCGTGAACTGAAGGATCAGCGGTTTGTAATCGCTCAGTTCTCGATCAATAGAGCCGACATGTGACAGCTGCAGTGTCACACGTCGGCTGTAAGTATTGAATTGAATGTATGTCACTCGATCAAATTACATTCTTAAATAAAACCTTTCCATTCATATTACATACCTTATTATAGACCCGGTGATGTCATCCCAGCAGTGCTGTCCTCCATGGTAATTCCTATTTGCTACAGGATGTCCTCAGTCTTCGGGTAAATGACACCTAGCATCATTCAACCAAGAAGACTGAGGACATGCTGTGAGTGCAGGAAGTCATGGACCTACACCTGGAGACAGTCAGAATGGCACCCTGCACTTATGGCGCAATAATGGGAGTGGCGCTGATGTCTGTCCATCTGTATCCCTGAGGATTGCCCACTTCCAGAGAAGAAAGATAACAGTGAATTCTTGAAGGTTCCCATGTTCCATTTCCCAGTTTCGGTCTTTAAATAGGATATGCAGAGGTTACAATGTATTATTCATAATATGACAGGACTAGATAGGTTAGACAATGGTATGGTGCAAAGGCTATTCATTGTGACCATGGACAGAATGGCAGCGCTGGTCTGTCCGCTTTCAGCCATGTTCCTTCCTGTTATCCTAATATATTTCTGTTCAGTTTCTCACCCTCCCCTCGCCCTCGGAAAATAGACAAACAGGAACGTATGAATGTAATGGATGTAATTGTACAGCAGTCTGCACCATCGTTCTCTTCACGCTTGACGAGAGTCACAAATGATTGCATTTCTGTTTCTTCTCCAACAGTCTTGTACTCATAAAGCTGTTGATAATTCAATCATCCCCCCCCCCAGTGAGTGCTGCATGCTGGAAACCAATTCACAACCTTTCCTGTCACTCAGGACTCATTTAGGTGACCATAGAGAAACTATAATAATATTCGGCCAATTTTTTTTTTTAGTTTCTATGTCATTATATATATATCATGAAATGTATCCTATTGTAGCTTATGGCGGGCTACCTAACAAGAAAGCCCAGCACTGCTTGCTAACTTGTAACTTCTCTGCAGGCTATCTCGAGGACCCCATTCACACTGAGCGATGTGTAGCGCAATTTCAGCTCAAAAATCTCTCAACTATCGCTCAAAAATCTCTCAATGTAGCTTGTCCAATGCATTTCAATGGAGCTGTTCACATCTCACAGCTCAATGTCTCCTATAGCTTGTAGCTGAAGTTTGTCGCTCGAACAGGACCTATTTTTCCAGCTGATTTTTTGCAATTTGGCTCCAATAGGCTTTGATAGACTTCCAAAAGAAGCGCAACATAGTGCGACAAAATATGCAATGTAGCTCAATGTCGCTCAGCTCAAATCAGCGCTGAAAAAGCACTTTTTTTATGTAGCTCAGTGTGAATGGGGTCTGAGGGCTTGTTCACACCAGCAAGCCACGCTAAATGCACGCCTGTTGGTGTGCGCTGACATTTCATTAAATTCTATCGGCACAATGTGGTTCGATGCAGTTGTGTTGCACCATGCTGCGCTGAAAAAAGTAATGCATGCAGTATTTTTTTTTTTTTTAGCGCGCACCACCATAGCACTTATGCACCACGGCAGCACTGTGGTGTGAATTGAGCCGATAAAAAACAAGGGAAATTGCCTTGTCTGTGTGTTTGGAAAAAGCTTTCAGTGCAACCCTAACGCATGTGATGTGAACCTACCCTGCCTGGGTTTTGTGTCAACCCAGTTCACCTGAGTTCACCGAAACCCACTCAAAACTGTAAACGGCGCAACCGCCTCCTAGCCCAATTAGTTGCGACAGGGGCATTTCCTGCCCCTCAGCTATACACCACAAAGGGGCGAGGATTGCTCCTACTCCAACTGCTGTTACTAATTGGGCGGGGAGGGGGTGTTGGGGTGCTGGTCATGGTTTTAAGTGGTCTTTGGCGAACTCAGGGGAACTAGGTTCGCACCAAGCCCAAGCTTATCGGTACCCCTAAGTAGGAGACTACTAGAGCAATTGTATGAGTTCACTTACCCTGTTTCCCTGAAAATAAGACCTATCCCAAAAATAAGACCTAGTACTACTTTTGGGAATTGCTAAAATATAAGACCTACCCCGAAAATAAGACCTAGTTGTGACCATTGCCAGGGCCGGTGGTGGAAACCTGAAGGGCCGCGGGAGAGAATCAGCGGTGCCAACGAAGCCAGCGCTAGAGGAAGCGAGGCAGCAGCGGAGGGAGCAGAGCCGCATAAGCGGATGTTTCCTCTGTAGCGCCGTCTCCTGTCACAGGCGGAATTATACCAAATGCACTCCGCCTGTGAGGAATCAATATTGAAAGTGCGCTTCGCTTTTTCTTGTTACCAAATTGCTCTTGGAAAGTTACGGTGCCCCTGATTGCCCTGATCACACTGTTCTTAACTTTGCCATTTTGGATTATTTAATTTGGATTTGCATTAAGTTTGGATTGTTGTACATTAAAAAAATAAATAAGACCTTCCCCGAAAATAAGACCCAGTGTGTTTTTTTTGAGCCAAAAACAATATAAGACAGTGTCTTATTTTCGGGGAAACACGGTAGCGCCCGCCACACAGGTCCTCCACGCATGTGTGGAATAAAGTATCCAGCCACTGATCTAGCGGTGCAAATGCCGAGTGACTTGTTTGATAAAACATCCTCTATGTGAAGAGAACAATGAAAGGCTAGAGATACAGGTGAGCCATCAGGTGATTTACATGGAGTGATCCCGCACGATGCTACGTGGATGATTCATCTGTATGTACAGTTAGAAGGTCTACAATTAGTCTTTCCTTCGCTGACAACTCACCTTCATGTATTCAAAGCCTTGGTAATATTTCAGCCACCTCACCCTAGGGTGTTTTCTCTAGGGCCGGGATAGTTAGGCTATTGTTATTAATGGATCACAGAACATAATCTTCTCTCACCTATTTACTGTACAATAAGAAGAACTGTTTTTTCCTATACTCCCCCGTTATTCATTGTCACTTACTCTCTGGGATCTTCACCATCATTAGGTGTGGCCCTTTCTAATGTGACACTTTTTTCTGTCCATTTTATCCAGCCACAATTCATTTGCTGCACAAGAAGGGTTCTTTTAACCTTCAGCTCTGCAACTCACAAAATAGGGGCATAAAAAGAAAAAATATAAAAAGAAAAACAATCTGTAGATACATTTCGTGAAGACAAATGTTAATCCTTTTGCTACCAGATGAGTAAACACCCCCAATGACTGACTAATGAGAAGCGCTTCTGACTGCGCTGACCAATGAGAAGCACTTCCTGCTAAGAAGCGCTTCTCAATGGGCAGCATGTCTTCAGTCATGTCTTCGCCATCTCTTGTAGTATGCCCGTAGTCTTTGGCCATCTCCTGTAGCTCGTCCTCAGTCTCTCACCATCCCGTATAGTATGCCCGATTTCTGTAACCATCTCCTATAGCATGTCCTCAGTCTCTCACCATCCCGTATAGTATGCCCGAAGTCTGTAACCATCTCCTGTAGCATGTCCTCAGTCTCTCACCATTTCTTGTAGTATGCCCGTAGTCTATGACCATCTCCTGTAGCATGTCCTCAGTCTCTCACCATTTCTTGTAGTATGCCCGTAGTCTATGACCATCTCCTTCTGACCAATGAGAAGCACTTCCTGCTAAGAAGCGCTTCTCAATGGGCAGCATGTCTTCAGTCATGTCTTCGCCATCTCTTGTAGTATGCCCGTAGTCTTTGGCCATCTCCTGTAGCTCGTCCTCAGTCTCTCACCATCCCGTATAGTATGCCCGATTTCTGTAACCATCTCCTATAGCATGTCCTCAGTCTCTCACCATCCCGTATAGTATGCCCGAAGTCTGTAACCATCTCCTGTAGCATGTCCTCAGTCTCTCACCATTTCTTGTAGTATGCCCGTAGTCTATGACCATCTCCTGTAGCATGTCCTCAGTCTCTCACCATTTCTTGTAGTATGCCCGTAGTCTATGACCATCTCCTGTAGCATGTCCTCAGTCTCTCACCATTTCTTGTAGTATGCCTGTAGCCAATGGTGTATTTATGTATTTGGCTGCCCTAGGCAAGCCAAGCTTCGGCCGCCCCCGGCACCTTACTAGCACCCCAGGGGAGCCGGAGCCCGTCTTTTCACAATCCCATCCGTCGGCTGCGCTGTCCGGCTCCCGTCCTGAAGTGACGGCAAGTAATCCCGGAGGTGCGGGGGTTGTTGTCGGTGCCTGCGACTAGAGTTCCAGCAGGTGCCGCCCTAGGCAAACGCCTACTTTGCCTCGCGGTAAATACGCCCCTGTCTGTAGCCTATGACCATCTCCTGTAGCATGTCCTCAGTCTCTTTCCATTTCTTGTAGTACGCCTATAGTCTTTGACCTTCTTCCGTGGCATGTCTGCAGTTTCCCACCATTTCTTGTAGTATGCCCATAGTCTATGAACATCTCATGTAGCATGTCCTCAGTCTCTCTCCATCTCTTGTAGTATGCCCATAGTCTGTGAGCATCTCCTGTGGCATGTCTGCAGTTTCCCACCATCTCTTGTAGTATGCCCATAGTCTATGACCATTTCCTGTGGAATGTCTGCAGTCTCCTGCCACCTCTTGTAGTACGCCCGTAGTCTTTGACCATCTCCTGTAACATGTCTGCAGTCTCCTGCCACCTCTTGTAGTACGCCTGTAGTCTTTGACCATCTCCTGTAGCATGTCTGCAGTCTCCTGCCACCTCTTGTAGTACGCCCATAGTCTATGAGCATCTCCTGTAGCATGTCTGCAGTCTCTTGCCATTTCTTGTAACATATCTGCAGTGTCTCACCATATCTTGTAGTATGACTGTAGTCTTAGTAATCTGGTGTAGACAACATGGATCAGCTCTGGGCTTATATGCTCTTGTCTCTCCACATGCAGTATGTTCTGAAGCATGACAAGTACAAGAGTCTGAGAGAGGTGGAGCGTTACCCCAACAGCCTGAACCCCCACTCTGCAGGGACTATGGTCTTGCTGAAGATGATCTTGACTCAGGTTATTGACAAGCATCCAATGATCAACTGGATCCACATTGGAGCAGACGAGGTAAAGACCTATAAATAAATATATCTTTTCCACTTTACATTTTGTGTACATATTATTATATTCTTGTTCATGGAAGAACTTCAAGGAGATCTGATGACCTTCATGTAGTTTGAATAGTCATAACATTCTGACCACTGAGAGGTGAAGTGAATAACATTGAATATCTTGTTACAATGGCTCCTAGAATTGTGTTGGATATATTAGGCAGCAAGTGAACATTTTGTCTCTGAAGTTGATGTGTTGGAAGCAGAAAAAAAGGGGAAATGTATAGATTTGAGCGATTTTGACATGGGGCAACTTGTGATGGACTACTGGGTCAAAGCAACTCCAAAACTGCAGCTCTTGTGGGATGTTCCCGTTCTGCATTGGTCAGGACCTACCAAAAGTGGTCCGAGGAAGGTGAACCAGCGATGTTCTCACGGGGCAGCGAAGGCTAATTGATGCAAAAGGCTGGCCACATGCAGTCCAATCCAGTAGAGGAGTTACTGTAGCTGGCATTGCTGAAAAATGCTGGTTCTGATAGAAAGGTGCCTAAACACACAGTGCATCACAGTTTGTTGCGTATGGGGCTGCGTAGCTGCAAACTGGCTGACCCGTGTTCACCGCCCAAAGTGCCTACAATGGAACGTGTGCATCAGAACTGGACCACGGAGCAATGGAAGAAGGTGGCCCGGTCTGATGAATCACACATTTTCTGTTACATCATGTGGATGGCTTTGTGCTTGTGTGTCACTTACCTGGGGAAGAGATGGCACCAGGATACGCTATGGGAAGAAGGTAAGACAGCAGAGGAAGTGTGATGTTGTGGGCAATGTTCTGGTGGGAATCCTTGTGTCCTGCCATTCATGTAGATGTTACTTTGACATGTACCACCTACCTAAACATTGTTGCTGACCATGTACATCCCTTCATGGAAAGGGTATTCCCTGATGGCAGTGGCCTCTTTCAGCAGGATAATGCCCCCTGCCACATTGCAAAAATGGTTTGAGAAACACAACAACAAGTTCAGGTTGTTGAATTGGCCTCCAAATCTCCAGATCTTAATCCAATTGAGCATCTGTGAAATGTGTGGAAAAAACGAATCCAATCCATGGAGGCCTCACCGCACACCTTGAAGGGTCTGCTACTGACAGCTTGGTATCAGATACCACAACATGCCTTCAGAGGTCTAGTGGAGTCCATGCCTCTAAAGGTCAGGGATGTTTTGATGGCAAAAGGGGGATCTTCTCAGTATTAGGCGGGTGGTCATAATGTTATGGCTGATCGGTGTGTGTGTATATATATATATATATATATATATTAGTAGGTTTATGCTGTGCTATGTCTAATAACATGAAGCCGTGTATAACAATCATATTGTGTTCTGCTGGTTTGATCCATAATGTGGAACCTTTGCTTATGGAACCTTCTAAATCAACCTCCAGGTCTACCCTCTAGGGGAAGGACAGGATTCCAAGTCCTGGCTGAACAACAACAAAGGAGACCTGGGGAAGATGTTCCTGAACCATGTGAAGAGCGTGGTGGACTTCCTGCACACTCAGTACCCTGAGAAGAGCCTGCTCATGTGGGATGACATGCTTAGAAAGTTCAGTGTAGAAACCATTGCAGGTCGGTCTGTCTACTTGCTGTGTGTACACCATACTTTTGAACACTTCAGGTGACTCCTTATTCATTTTCAGGGAAGAAAGGTTAACCTTTTATATGAACAGTTAGTTCTAAGCTTTTGGATAGCTCCATAAAGAGCTGTTGTGGAACATGCATTCACTGGTGTTGACCACCTATTAAAGATACAACTCACCTGCCTCTGTTGAGCGTTTGGAGCCATGGTTGTCGTTACTCAAAACCTATCAAAAGCAAAAATTTTATAAATTGCATCTTAACAGTCCGTAGATGTGGTAGCTGAGTTAGTTTTTTACATTTTATTTGATAATCCTGCGAAAAATGCAGTCCCTGGGTGGCTACGCTCACAGCTCCAGTTTTTCTATGGAGGGAACCATGGTTTCCACTAGGGATGTACATGGGCTTTGTGGGAACCAAGTTCACCCAAGCCCACTAAAAACTGTCAATGACCCATCCCCCACCCGGCCCTGTCATTTGCAACTGGGGCATTGCCGACATCTTTGTTACGTGTAGCTGCGAGGTGGGGAATGCCACGGCCGCAGCTGATTGGGCTGTGAGGAGGGTGTGTCACTGACCGTTTTACACATGCTCAGGTGACCTCGGGCAAACTCTGATCACACCAAGCCCACACACGTCACTAGTTTCCACCCAGTCTGGATTACACATGTCTGCCTTTGTTTATTTCCATTACCGGAGAGGGGATGAGTTTAGTAGTTTACAGAAGAAAGATAACATTGTTTTTGCTTCCAGCTCATTTACCAGGAAGTGATAAGTGATCTATACTTGCCGAAAATGTTCTTAGCCTAAAATATTAAAACGAATACAGCCACTTTATCTAAGGACTGGGAAGCTTCGATTTATTACATTTTTTGGTTAAGTTATTTTTGAAGTGACTCCTTCTTTTGCCAATGCAGAATGAAAATAAAGGGGCAAATTAAATCCTTTTCTCCATAGCAGCCTGTGTTTACCTTCCCATGCTCCCACGCCACTTTTTTCAGCTGCAGCCAGAAAAAAAAAAGCCTTGTGTAAGCTCCAAACCAACTTGTCAGAGCTTACACCGGGCAATAGACCGGGCTATATTTTTTCCCCCTCTTCCCTTGTGACAGCACAGGGCCAATCACAAGGCACCAGTGCTGTCGGATGGGAGGGCAGGAATAAGTCACATGTGTACACATACTGAAACTACTGAGTATTTCAGTGTACCCTCTGCAGCTAAACGGAGGGGCGGTGGAATGAAGGGAGGGCGAGTATATGTTGTTGCCAGAAGGGTGGGGGGTGGGAAGGGGTTAAGTAACCATTTTTCTTTCCTTGATTTGGGCACTTTAAAGGAAAACGGCACTAAGTGAAATATGTAGGCTGCCATTAATGACCTATTTCTAAAAACGTTTGGTGCCTGGCTGTCCATGGATTTAATACTTTCTAAGCTAGTGACCTGGAGCAAGCAAAGTCAGAATGAAGTCAGGACTCCTGCATATTTGTTCTAAGTCAGCAACTGCATGGCAGGCAGGGAACTAGCATTTTTAGTAGCCTCCATACTTGTTCACTACAGGTTCCCTTTAAAGGAATGGAGACAGGAGACGATGGGTGAAGCCCAATTATGGACTGGCTGCGGAAATAAATTGTGACAGCCACCCCTCCTAACAACATACATATTATACTGCTCATTTTGTATAGGGGAATGTAAGAGAGAGAAATATGTACCCTAAAGCTCGATCCTGCCACAGCCAGCACTCTGATCTCCTAATTTCCTGGCCCCAGAATGCGTACGGAACCTTGGCGCCAATATATACGATGCAGGACTTCTGGTGGTCCTGCATTATATTCAATGACAAATATGGCGAGGGCCAAACGACTTCAGGGGACCAGTCCATGGTGAAAGCCTACGGATCGTAAGAGTAAAGTGAGTAATACAGTTCATTAGAGCCCTTTAGAGTCTTACAGGACCAGGGGTGGGGAAACTCAAGGCCTCCAGCTGTGGTAAAACTACAAATCAAATGAGGCATCTGCCTTTGGGAGTCGTGGCTGTGAAAATCTTGCAATGCCTTGTGGGCTTTCTATTTCCACAATAGCTAGAGGGCTGGAGTTTGCCCACCCCTGCCCTGGACTAAACAAATGCGTGTCACTATTTTTGCTGAATTCCAGTGGCATAGCGTGGGGGGCAGAGGGGGCACAAGCCCCCGGGTGCCGGACTGAAGGGGCGCCAGGCCAGGAGGTGTGCCGGGTGTGCTCCCCAGCACAACGCCTAAACCTGCTGCTGGCTTTGTGAGACTTGTACTATGACTCTTAACCCCGCTCATGCAATTAGCATTTTCAGAACTGGATCACCAATGGCAGTCTCCACATTGGTCTCACTACAGATTTCCTTTGGACTTTTATGCATTCACCGATCCCCAGACCATTGCTTCAGTCAGGAAATGGTCTAGTCACAATGTGATGGAGAGCACTTGCTGGTGAATTGCCAATATTACGATACTGCCCCGTGTCTAATACTCTGCATTGTTTTGCAGCTGCCGGAATTACGAAGTTTGTGTCTCCTGTCCTGTGGATGTACCATACAAACTTCAACATGGCACAGACAGGTAAGCAGCCTACCTCTTTTCTGATAGGTCAGTGTGGAAACAAGACATCTTATAAATAGTATGTGCTGGGGCTTTGCATCACCTTTAATGATGGAATGATCCATTTTCCATAATGTTGGGAATATTTTATCTATAGATCTGTTTAGACTGTTTTTGCATGACAAAGGCTGAGGGCTCGACCACCCCTGTGCCAAATCCTGAGTTTGCCCTCGATAAGAGTTTCTGTTTTATCTCGGCACTTTATAGGCTGATTTTATGCTTTGCTGCTGTTCAAAAATTAATGCCGTATCATAATGAAGAAAAAAAAGATTTTCTGGTATTGTAAGCCTCACATCCGTGCAAAGCACATTAAGCAGCTTATCACCGAGATTAGCTTGTAACAAAGGCACGAGAAAATGACTGGGAGCCATCGCTTGCCTGTGCTGGGTTATTGCTGATATTTTTTTTCTATTATAATAGGAATATACTAATGAACCAGCCAATTCATGGCTTGTAAAAACTAGACACGAGGGAAGTTCTTGTATTGCAAATAGTAAGGAACCCTCTTTTTAGGAATGTGTTTGATATGAGCCAAGCAAAACAAACGACAAACGCACTCAACAATTTGTTACCAGTTGTACAGTAAGGTGCACACGAAATGGGCTTTGAACAGTAGAACAGTAGAAAGGCATCATGTCACACTCACAAACTAGCATGTAAAACAACTTGTCTCACCACTAAGGACAATGACAGAGGTTTGGATACACGTCTTTCGTGTGCACCTTACTGTACAACTGGTAACAAATTGTTGAGTGCGTTTGTCGTTTGTTTTGCTTTACCGATTTGGTGCAGCGACGCATGGGGTTTCTCAGCTGCCAATGGGATGTGCGGGATCCCTTGTGTGTTTCTGTACCTTTAAGGAGGTGGGGCGTCCTCCTGACAAGCCTGCACCCAATTTGATATCTTCTGCCCCATGTGCTCCAAGATGGAGACTCTCATAGTTTAGAGTTAGGACCGCACTATAAGAGGTGCCTTGGCGCGGCAGTGCGGCTTACACATCCTTTGCAGAAGACGTGTATCCAAACCTCTGTCATTGTCCTTAGTGGTGAGACAAGTTGTTTTACATGCTAGTTTGTGAGTGTGCCATGATGCCTTTCTACTGTTTGATATGAGCCAGGCACACAATTTACTAGCCCACAGTACCTTCTTTACGTTTTAATCAGCTCCATGCAGGTTTGTTTGAAGCCAAACTGAACCTCCAGCTTAAATGTGCTAAATACACTCCAGGTGCACCAAAATATAGATATGCAAAGGCTTGAGCTAGCCATACACCATTCGATTTTTACAAGCTGAACAAAAAAAATCAAAACAAAATCACCCCCCCCCCCCCCCCCCCTACGCGCCGTTCCTTTTGTCCTCTGACAGCCAGTACTGCAGTCACTGTTCCACCAAAAATCTTACATCTGGCTCCTCCAGTTTTCAGATCGAAGGATAATAGGTGGAAAGTGGCCAACAAGGACACCCATGGTGCAAATTTCCTCCAGTTCATCCAGAACCAGCTGAAGTTCGCTCAGGTTGTGGTCAGCTAAAGGTCCCGTTCACATGGGCAGATCAGGAGAGGACCTGTGCACGGATCCCTTCCTGATTGCAGCGTTATGGATCAGATGTTACCGCTGTGACATCCGTGTACCTCCCAGTTTTTTCCTCCATCTTGCCCCATGTTGGTCTATGGTGAATCAAAAGTAAATGGACATGTGTCCGTTTACATCAGATTACCCCCGATACGGTGCAATCAGGTCCGGTGAAATGGAACACTGTCCTGTTTATTTTTCTGGACTAGGCGGAGTTGGGGGTAACCACGGCTGCCCATAGACTAACATTGGACCGCTTGTGTGAAAGGGGCCTTAGGCTAAGCAGGTATGGCTTATTATCTTTTGTTCAGCCCAGCGGGTTGAATGGGAGCAGGTCAGTCATTTCCCCCATCCAGGCTAAAGAGCACAGATGAAGGATTCTCCACTGCCGGCTATTGGAGCAGCCATGGCACCTGCCGCTGCCTAAAAACAATGAGCCAGGTGGTGATTACAGGGCCAGACACAGCTTCGGTTTTGAAATCTGAGCCATTTAAGGCTAGCTTTATCATTTGTAGAAAAGCCTGTCCCCTGCCAACATTATGTACTCTTGCTCTTTATGTGGAAGCAGTGGTCTCTCTGCAATGTTCCAACACCCCCTGCTGAGTCACTGCAGTCACTATGGGCATAAGCTTTTCCACAGCCAATTTTTTAATATAGAATGAAGAACAGGATAGGAAATGAATTACACACACACGGAGAGATAGTGATAGTAGATTATAGGAAATGAATTCCATTTCACATTTCTGTTCTTTTCTTCCCATCTCAGAATCTTTTCTCTCCAAATATGAAAGCAGTGGATTTTCCAATATTTGGTTTGCAAGTGCCTTTAAAGGGGCCTCCACTCCCAACCAGATTTGGACCCCTATGGATTTGCACATGAAGAACCACCAGCAGTGGAAGAAGGTCATTGATGGGATGACCAAGTTCCCCAAACTCCATTATGGCGGCATAGCGCTGACAGGGTGGCAAAGGTAAGATACAAAATGTCAGGAACATTGAGCTTCATCTCTCTCTGCAGAGCATGCTGGGAGACACAACCAGCTACACATCCAGAGTTGCAAGAATTAAAAAAAGTTTAACTGTAGAAACCAACCAACTGCTTGAATTCATTTTCTAATATGATTAGTTGCTGTTGGCTTTTCTTTCCTCTACTCTAGGTTCAAAATGTTGTAAATTAAGGATAAAGACTTATTATAGAGACATGACTCGGAAATTTGCTGTGTGGACACCTGACCATTACATCTGCATAAGCTTGCATTCAATTAAAAAACCATGGGCATTCATATGGAGCTGGCCTCCCAATGCAGATATAAAATCCTCCACCTTTCTGGGAACGCTCTTTCCACAAGATTTTGGAGTGTTGTGCTTTAACCACCTCCCGTCCGCCGAACGTAGCAAAACAGCCGGACGGGAGCCTTGTAGATGCGGGTGGGCGTCCTAAAACGTCCTTTGTGCCCGCACGTATGTGGTACCTTCGTGCGCCCCCCTCTGCTCCGTTGCCGAGATCCCGGGCTTCTTGTGCTCTGTGCGTGCCCGGGACTGGCATTGTGGCTCTGTGCAGGGAGGACGGAGGGAGCTCAGTACACAACCTCCCTCTGATCTCCTCCCTGTTCTGTGAATGCAGGAAGTGACGTTTGTTACATCACTTCCACATTCAGCTGTCGCTCTCCGACTACATAAGCCGGAGAGAAGCTGGTGAAGCAGATCTCTGCTTCATCAGCTTCTCTAGGGGTCCCTAGGTGACATTAGGGGTTTTAGAGTTATAGTTTTAGGTGCACTAAGTACTCAAATTTATATAGTTTGCACTACTCCGTTGTCTGTGTTCCTTCCAGACCTCAGCAGCCCAATGTCCTTAAAAAGGGAAATCTTCCAATGGGGACAAGAAGAAGGGATTACCTCTAACTTCCTGTTGTCTTTGGGGCAGGAAATGAAGGGTACTCTCCCTAATGGGGAACAGCAACAAAACAAAAAAATCTGACCGAGGCTCCCGCCCTTTGCAACTCTATCTACAATTACAATAAAAAACGTTTGGGCTATAGTTCGCCTTGGTCCTTGTTATACTGCACGCAATGTAATGTGAGCACACAGTTGGTAAAGAAGGCTGAGAAGCTCATGTACTTTGATGTGATGGGGTCATGGAACCGTTGCACCTTCTATACCCCAGCACGTCCGAGCTGCTCTGGACTTACCATTCATCCAGCCATTCTGTATGTAATAATTCTAACATAGCTGCAATCACACTGAGGACAGCCAGGAGGCAGCAGAGCCTTACTTTTAGGGTAATAATGACAACACCGTCACTGGGTCTAAAATAAGGTGTATAATGAAAAAATGTTTTTTTTTTCATTTATTAGCATGTTAAAATGAGGGGACGGCAATATTAAAACAGTATAAACTTCAGCTTTAAATCTTTCCCCCATCCACCTAAATTGCAGCCACCTACCCAAATACTTTCCTTAAGCCCCACTACCAAGATTCACACAAAGGAAAAGTCCGGCTTCCCTCCAGCTCCTTTTGCGCTCACAGTGCTCATTCTGTTCATTCCTGTGGCTGGTCCTGATGCATGGTGACCCCCCCGGCCATTAGGCTGGGTTCACACCTGGGCGTACGGAATATGCGCGTTTGCCGCGTGTTTCATGCCGCACGTTTTTACCGCAATTTGCGGTAAAAGAAACGCGTGACAAACGCGCGTTTCCGAGGGTTATCCAGCTCCTGTACTTCTTTGGGCTTAGGGCGTTTTACAGCGCGTTCCTACGCGCTGTAAAACGCCCAGGTGGGAACCATGCCCATAGGCAATCACTGGTTTTCACATGTTGAGCGTTTTACAGCGCGTAGGAACGCGCTGTGAAATGCCCAGGTGTGAACCAGGCCTTAGGGGGAGCATGACTCCAGCCTTTAGAATGAATGGGCCAAGCTGGAGCTAGACGTGAGCAGGGCTTTTTTTCTGCAAAGACTGTGTAGTGCCGGGGTTCTATCGAAAGCTCCAACTCGTCGAAATCTCCAACTGCCTGACTGCCGGGTACTTGCAAGTTGGAGATTTCGACCAGACGGAGTTAGACTGCAAAGCGCAAAGACTGACGCAGCTCTGTACAGCTGCATTTTAACAATATTCAACAGGTGGCAAACTTGACAAGTATTCTGAAAAAGCAATGCGCGCTTGCGCACCGCAACTGTACAAAGCTCCTGTCTTTCTGAGCACCAAAGTGCGGTAGTTGGAGATTATCGATGAGTTGGAGCTTTCGATAGAACACAGGGCCGGGACACACAGGCAAGAGGTAATGTATAGTGAGGTGGGCAAAAAAGGGACCAAACTGTCCACCATCTGAAGCATCTTCAAAAAAGTCAAATATGGCACATCCCATGTCTCCGTCCTAAAAGGTTTCCTTTAAACTGCACTTCTCAGCAGCAGGTCACAGCATCACCATTCTTTTACATTTTTAAAAAGCCTCTTTCTTGCTATGAATAAAACATTTCACCCTGGTGTGAACTTCAGGAGCATTGTGAGAGTTTTACATGATTACAGACTGCAAGAGTTTGTCTTACTCGTTAAGTCAGACAGATCCTGTCTGGTAGACATTCAATGAGGTAAGAGAATGAGCAAACAAACAAGGAAGTAGGACCTGCTTATGTAATGGGCAGATATCGTCACCTCCTAGTATCTAGAATTATAGGAACTGGTCATATGACTGTAATGGGTGCAGGCATACTGTAGTCCTACAACTACTGAAAAAGTCCCAGCAGGAAGCTTCCCACTGCCAGTTGCCCACCTAGTACCAGTTATGGGAGGTTGCGTGATATCTACCCCTGTGTGACATTGGTTCGTCTCTTCCTGTAGGTATGACCATTACTCTGTTCTGTGTGAGTTGCTTCCAGTCACCATCCCGTCTTTGGCTGTTTGTCTGAAAACGCTAAAATACGGTAAGATACACATGCTACCCGACGCTGAGATTCTCCATGCCGCTGTGAACCATCTCATGTACCTTCTCTTCTGCAGGTCAGTTCACTGAGGAAGCCAAAAAGCAGACCGCTCACATACTGGGCTTCAGCAAAATTGACGTAGAGAAGAGCACCTGGTAAATAGCCCTTCATACACACCAGATGTAACTCTGCCAATCCCTAAATGTGTTCAGAAAGGATGAACAGTGGCTGATATTCATATGTGCTTTGTGTCTATGATATGAAATAGAAGCATGGCGTTTGTTACAGAAATCTGTCTCTTTTACTTTAGTGATGGAACCGGAGCTTTTCCAGGGGCTGAAATTTACAGCTTGGTAAGAAAAATCCACGTGGATCTGAAGCAGAAGGTGCGGGAGATCACGGAGGGTAATAAGTGAGTAAAGGAGAATAAATGAGGACCTTACAAAACCCACTAGCCACAGTCTATTGCCTTCACTGCTATTCTCATATGACCCCTGCCCTGCTGTTCTGATCATGTGACCCTGTATGGTTATTCTGATTATGTGACTCCTTCACTCCAGTGCTGACCATGTTAATTCTCCACTAATATCCTGATAATGTGATCCCTTTACCGCTACCTCTATCGATATCATGATCATGGGATACCTTTACCACTATCCTGACCATGGGATCCCTTTACCACTATCCTTCCTGATCATGGGATCCCTTTACCACTATCCTGACCATGGGATCCCGCTACTACTATCCTGATCATGGGATACCTTTACCACTATCCTGACCATGGGATCCCTTTACCACTATCCTAATCATGCGATCCCTCTACCACTATCCTAATCATGTGATCCCTCTACCACTATCCTGACCATAGGATCCCTCTACTTCTATTCTGATCATGGGTTCTCTCTACCGCTATCCTGAAATGCGACCCCTCCTCCACTATCCTGAGCATGCGATCCCTCTAGCACTGTCATGATCATGCGATCCCTCTAGCACTATTTTGAACATGTGATCCCTCTACCCCTAGCCTGACCATGCGATCCCTCTACCTCTATCGTGACCATGCGATCCCTCTACCACTATCCTGACCATGGCATCCCTCTACCACTATCCTGACCATGGCATCCCTCTACCACTATCGTGATCATGCAATCCCCATACCCCTATCCTGATTGTGCGATACCTCTACCCCTATCCTGATTGTGGGATACCTCTACCCCTATCCTGATTGTGGGATACCTCTACCCCCATCCTGATTATGGGATACCTCTACCCCCATCCTGATTATGGGATACCTCTACCCCCATCCTGATTATGGGATACCTCTACCCCCATCCTGATT